TTCAGCAGAAAACAGGAGCCTTCCACCAGAAAATCCTGCTCTCTTGAGTGGAAATGGCTTTCCAAAGTATCTTCTGTTCCTAATTTCTAAGACTAGCCCAGTCAGGCTAATCATTCACTCTGCTCAGCAAGCATGAATCTGGTAGGAAATACTAGGGTAGGTGTCATTTGAGTGTCACCTTTGAAATCCCTTAGCTCTGAAACTAGAGCCAAACATGACCATGATCTGTCTCTCCAGAATCAATATTTAGATTGGACCATCATTTTAGGAAAACTGACCTGCAGTTGAAATTGGCTTATATCTCCTTTCGATTCCAAGAGTACAGGTCACTTTAGTGAAGGAAATTCTGCGAGATGCTTTAAGTAAGAACAGATTCTCATGATGTAGCTATGGCTTTTCAAGATGATTGATCCACACGGACCTGTGCACCCCGTGCTCCTTTTCCCACTGTTCAGGGGAAGCAGTTAGGTATTTGCTATCTTGTGTTGTGAATGCCAGTCATTCTGGCAAGACCTGTATCTCACGTAGGACACTCACACAAACTGCAGCTGCTGTAGGTATCAGTCAGTAGGCATTTACAAACACTCCAGCTAGGAACTATTCTCTGTTTCTGACTTCTGCAGTGCAGGTTGAAAGGGTATTTGGAGTCTTACAGTGTTAGTACAGTAGTTTTACAGCACATACAATGGGATTTTGGAGACCAAATGGAGTTTTCACGTTTGCCATGGACTAATTTTCTTGTGCAGTCCCTCCTCTAGCAGACTCTGCAGGCTAGTCTTGCACATACCCTTGCTGAGATGCAAGAGAAAATGGCTTGCCCAAGCAGGAGCAGTTGCCCAAGCATGTAGATGTAGAATAAGCTAAAGAACTGGAGTATTTAAGGTGCAAAATCCTGGCTGATTTGTCTTGTGTGGTTTTGCTGCAGGCACAGGCTTATCTTGGTGTGTTCTACCTGCGGGGTCCGAAGCCTAAGGAAAAGAGAGGTCTGAAGTACTTGTTGCTGGCAGCCAGCAACGGCGTAAGTAGTGTCTCTGTAAGCTCTGATTGTTCTGAGCTGAGGCTCATTGCATATTACAGGTAGCAGGTTCCTGGGCTTCGTGGAAGTAGGAGCGAGTGTCAGGACTTTCCTGCACTGGCTGAAAGGACAGGATGGCACCTTGGGGAGGAAACAGGCTATGGGGCCCAGAAGCTCCAACTGTGAATGTTAGACGAGCCATATTGGGTTGGATCAAGCCTTTAACAACAGAAAATCTGGTAGGATAAATACTGATCCCAGCAGAGCTCTGTAGAAGTCTCAGTCACAACCCTCACAGTTCT